GAGTAGAGGTTAGAGGCATTAATATGCAAAAACTAGAAAATAGAAGAAAAAGAGGCGATATGATCACTATGTACAAAATAGTAACTGGAATTGATAAAATTGATAGGGAAAAATTCCTGAAACCTGAAACTTCAAGAACAAGAGGTCATAGATTTAAACTAACGAAACAAAACAGCTGGAAAAACATAAGAAAATTCACTTTTGTAAACAGAGTGGTAAACAGTTGGAACAAGTTAGGTGAGAAGGTGGTTGAGGCCAAAACTGTCAGTAATTTTAAAGCGTTGTATGACAAAGATTGCTGGGGAGACAGGACACCATGAACGTAGCTCTCATCCTATAACTACACTTAGGTAATTGCTAGCTACTTTTCTCTCTTCAGTCATACCCCCCTAGATACTAGGGGTGTTCTGGATTTTCTGTATAGGGAAAATTCCTAGTTCTTTTCTCTGAATACAGGTGTAAGATACTCGGAGTGATGCCGCCAGAATATTACATGGCTAAGTTGTGTCGTGCCACTATAGTGCCTACACTCTACAGGAGGGATTATACAGTCTGGCGATACTGTCAGCCAGGCACTGGTTCTCAATTTTTGGATGAGTGTTGGGTATTGTTTTTGGTATGTTGATTGGCCAATTTGCATGCATCTTCACATAACCTTAATTTGTCCATATATATATTGTTATTGGTTATACTGTGGGGCATAGCCCCAAATTTTTGTATTTTTTTTTTTTTTTACTCTTTCAGCGACTGAATCTTTTCTTGAATCTGGATACTCATTCATTGACCGTTATTCAGTCCTGCTGGAGTTTGTTGCGCCGATCATTCGGGATGTGGTCTTGCTGTTTTTGCTTCATGTCTTGCTTGTCGGCTCGTGGGGCTTACTTCCTCGTTGGCCTCTGCCTGGGCCCTGACTCTTAGGTTTTTGTCGTCATTTTGTCCTTGCTGTTTGCGGGATCTGCAGTTGGGCAGTTTCTGCAAGCAGCAGCTTCTCGTTGTCATCCGTTATCAGATTTGTTGGTCCTTCAGGGGTCCCAGGGGAGGGGGGGGGGTGTTCCTCCCAACAGGGCCACGCATCTGGGCCAAAAGAACAAAAAGAGCCTGAAGTTCCCAACCTTACACCCAGAAGCGAGAGCTAACAAGAACATAGTTTCAAGAAAGAATCTCTGAGCCAGAGATGAAACTGTAAAACCAGGTGAGGAGAGAAAAAGAAAAAAAAGTTTTTTTTACAGTCCTGTACAAGAGGCTGTTCTGGAAACTGGAACATGCTGGAGGGGTCAGTGACAAGGACTTCTGACATGGATGAAAAATATTCTAATTGATAGACAGATGAGGGCGGTTATCAGAGACAGTGTATTTGACTGGAGGAGTGTTACTAGCAGAGTACCACAGGGGTTTGGTTCTTGCACCAGTAATGTTCATCGTCTACATTAACCCTTAAAGTGCGCATCACTTCATATGAAGTGTAAATCGTTTTACCAGTCAACTGCGCTTCACTTCATATGAAGTGTATGGGTACCGCGCACGATTTGAATGGCCCGCGGTGTAGCTGGGGGTCCCATATGCTGCCCAGGGGCTCTAGTAAACAGCGGCCATTTTGAAAAAAAATCCAGCTCACGCTCCGATGGCATGGGAGGCCTCAGTTTAGCGAGAGTCACCATGGCGAGCGCACGGTCAAACGCCTCACGAGCACGCATCACTCAGTCCCTCACCCCAGAGCAAATAGCCCACGAATTATTCTCTGAAGGTGAAGAAAGTGTGTTTGACGATTCAGACAACGATGAGGATTATACACAGTTGTCGGGAGATAGTAGCAGCAGCAGTGAAAGTGAGAATGACCGCCATGCCATGGCGAGGCCTATACGCTCTCCCATGCCTCCTCGCCCATTTTCTACCCCAATTCTACCACGACCTCACAGTTCCTGTGGATATTTTCTGTTTGAGGGTGACGAGTCAGAGGGAGGTGACTCCTTTTCTGGGTTTAGTGACTCGGATCAAAGTTTTATTGAGCCTGTGGCTGGTACCAGCGGTGTAACTGGGCGAGAAATTGTCGCGTCAGCAGCATCTCGCCCAGCCAAGCGCCACCGCATGGCACCACATGAGGGACCAAGACCCTCGTGTTCACGTGCACCCACCTCACGTGCACGTAGCCGCCGTGCTTCTCGCAGATGGTATTCAGCTCCTGGTCGCCGGTATGCATCGCTTCCTCGCCGTCTTTCCTCTGCATCTCGCAGGACGCCTGGTGTACTTGAGTGGAGTGATAGTGACGATTTTATTCCTAATATTCCTCACTTTGACGATAAAGATGTAGGGATTACAAACCTTTTCCCTAATCAAGGTGAGGACATGGCTGAGATGGAATATTTTACAGCATTCTATGATGAACCACTCATGGAATACATTGTACACCAAACGAACCTGCATGCTGCTTACCTGATTGAGAGGGAAATCACAGAATTTTCACGACTGCAGCGTTGGAAAAATACCACAGTGGCGGAAATGTATGTGTTTTTGGCACTCTGTTTGTTGATGAAGCACTGTCACAAACATGCAATAAATGACTATTGGAGCAAGGACAAGACAATACCAACACCTTTATTCGGGAAATATATGTCACGAGACAGGTTTCAGATACTCCTCAGGTGTCTACATTTTGGAAGTGTTCAGGACCGAACACCTGATGATAGACTGTGGCGAGTGAGGCACTACATGAACGATGTTATTGGAAAATTCAGAGATTTTTACGTACCAGCACAGAAGCTGGTGGTTGATGAATCTCTCATACTTTTCAAGGGACGTGTTCCATTCAAACAGTACATTCCCTCAAAACGAAACCGATTTGGCCTGAAATTTTTTGTTCTTTGTGATTGTGAGACAGGATACGTGTTACACATGATTCTGTACTCGGCTAGTGATGTAGACATTCCCGGTAACGACGAACATGGATTCTCGGGGAGTGTAGTGAAGACCATCATGGCTCCGTGGATGAACAAGGGACACATTTTATACACAGATAATTACTATACAAGTCCCTTGCTAGCTCGGTTCTTGCTAGAAAATAGAACCGGATTGGTTGGTACAGTAAAGCCACAACGAAGGGAAATGCCTGTGTTTGACAACGACATTGCAGTTGGTGAGTGTCAGAGAAGGAAAAGTGATAACATTCTGTCAGTTCGGTGGAAAGACAAAAGAGAGGTGAACTTGTTGACAACAATTCATGATGGAACAATGGTGAACAGTGGGAAAGTGAGCCATAAAACAAACGCACTACTATATAAGCCAGACTGTGTTTTAGACTATAATATCAACATGCGGTTGATTGATAAATCAGACATGATGATTGGCACTGCAGAGTGTGTGCGGAAGACATGTAGGTGGACGAAAAAAGTGTTCTTCCATCTTGTGGACATGAGCATGCTGAACTGTTTCAACATGTACCTTGTGAGAACTGGACGTAAGCCCACTTTCCGTGACTTTGTATTTGATGCTGCAATACAGTTATTAGGAAAGTTTGCAAAAGATGTCCCAGGTATTCAGCGGCCCATCATAAACCCACTGTTGCAGCATGCTGGTACTCCACGCCTCGCTCACACTGAAGGCTTCCTAGCACACAAACTTAAGTATTTGCCACCTGGTGTGAAGCGTGCAATAGCCCAACGTGATTGCTTGGTGTGTAAAACAACGACACGTAGAGACAAGAAACGGAAGCTTGTGCAAACATGGTGTGAAACGTGTGGTATCCCATTATGTGCTGTCGACTGCTTCAATGACTACCACAGTCTAGAAATCTTCTAAGTGTGCTTCAAAGTGTGTATAGCGTGTGCGAGTGTGTAAATATGTAAACATATAAGCAGAACATATAATATAATAGACTGTAATGACATATTATATTGCCGTAATTGAAAACATTTGTGTGCGCCTGTGTATACTCAAATATGCAACAATTATTGATACAAAATATGTTCAAACAGTATTTGAAACACAATTAGTGAAAAAAAATTAGATAAAATGCGCTTAGACATTGTAAATAAATAGCGCGAAAATATATTTGTGGCAACTCTGGCTGTTTGAGGACCGCGCGCAACATCTCCCGGGCGTGTACTGCATGAGCGAACATGCAGATTGTGACGTCATCGCAGAGCTTCTCGGCTCTATTGCAACAAAAGTAAGTACAATAGAATTTTTTTTTTATTTTTCCCGTGATCAGTGAACAGAACTTAACAGATTAGCAAAAAAAAAAAAAATTTTTTTTTTTTTCAAAATGACATGCGCCTGTGTGGATAGCAGGATATTAGACCCCGAGCATGTTAAGGGTTAACGATCTACCAGAAGGAATTCAGAATTATATGGGCATGTTTGCAGATGATGCTAAGATACTGGGTAAGATAGGAGATGCAGACGATTGTCATGTCCTTCAAATTGATCTAGATAAAATAAGTGCTTGGAGTGTCAAGTGGCAAATGGAATTCATTGTGAATAAATGCCATGTTATGGAATGTGGAAATGAAGAAAATAGACCACACGTAACTTACAAATTGTGTGGAAAGGAGTTAAAAACCAATAAAAAAAACGAGACCTAGAGGTGGCTTTGGATAGTAAACTGTCGCCAGAGGAACACATAAAGAACATTGTGAGAGGAGTGCATGCATCGTTTTCCAACTAAAGACTTGCTTTTAATTATATGAATGGTGAAATACTAAAGAAACTGTTCATGACTTTTGTGAGACCAAAATTGGAGTATGCAGCAGTTGTATGGTGGGGCACATTGCAGCAGTTGTATAGTGGGGCACATTTCCTATCACCTAATGCATCTGTTCACCTAACAGTAAGTAGGTACCTAGGAGTTAGTCATCTTGTTATGGGTTCGGATCCTGGTGGGGGAGGGGGTCAGTTATTTGATCCTTGGGGGGTGGGACGTCGATATATGCCTAAATTTTGCTTATCTTATTGTGAGGTACTTTGTGTTATCGGTGAATAATGCTTAAGATTTCTTTCTTTCACAGACAAACTTTGCAGTGTGCAGTGGAGAAGAAGATGCGATCTTTGGCATTTTGTGTGATCAACTCGGTTAGAAGAGGATTCCCTCCAGATCAAGGAGCTCATATTGCCTTACGTAAGTTTGCTATGCACACACAATTGGTCTGCTTTTAAAGGGAAAAATGTATTTGTACAAACTGTTTGCAAATTGCATAATTTTTCCAAAAGGAAATTACGTTGAATATGTGCTGGGCCAGTCCACACATGGATACTTCCACTAATACAGTCAGAATTTGGTTTATGTAGAAGCTCGATGAGATTCATCCATTCTTGTGCATGTGTGATATTCTACATGATTCAAACCCTCTCTCCAAGGAAAAGAAAGTTCTCTGATAGACACACAAGTGTTTTATAAGAATATAATATTACATTGTAGACGATAATTAATATTTCATTGTTTTCTGGAAGAGTCTTGTTTGGTATCACCAAATTAGCAAATCACACATGTCTACAGGAGACCATGACCAGAATTTTGCCCCTTAACCCTTAAGCTGCTAAGGGGTCCTGAGGAGATTTATACCCCTGTGCGCAAGAAAAAAAAATCCTCCAAAAATCCTTGGATCCTCTCGAATGTTGGTTCGAACCCTCATCACGGCCCTTGTGGATTTGTTCATTTGATGCATCACGCTATTGTGATTTGTGTGTGTAAAAAATTCCAGTGTTTCTCACTTTCCTACTCGGGCCTTAGTTTTGCCCTTTTAACCTTAAATTGCACATGGCATATATATATGCCATGAGTAGCATGTCCCACTGTGCGCATGGTGTATATATATACGCCATAGGATGCCAGGCACGATTCAAATGGGCCGCAGCTGCACGTGGTTTACATTAGCTTCATCAGGGCTCTTGTAAACAGACGTCATTTTTTTTTTTAAATCGTGGGCAATATTCTCCGGTGTGAGAGCCACAGTACTGTTGGAGCAACCAAGGCTGGCGCATGCAGCATGAGCGAACAGCATTGCTCTTCAGCTTGTGACCACAGCATCGCCGAAAAATGTCAAAATAAATATATAACTGCTATTATTTAGCGTGACAATATTACAGAGGATCCCTGACTGTGATAAAAATGACCAGGATTGTGATAATAGCAGCATTGTTGTGATAATTAGCTTTGTGGGAGGAGTGATGCTGAGGGACGGAGGGAGATAGAATCGTTTACTGACTGTGTGGCCACCTGTTATTGTCTGCATTCACCATACCAGCTCAGTGGTTCTCTATGGTGAACACAAATATAGATACTTCTATATAATGTGTGTATTAGTGTAATAACAGCAAAAGGATTATGTTGGGAGGAGTCATTTGGGTGACCAAGGTGATGTCGTCTGCATGATTTGTCTGGCTGTGTGGAGGGTGGCCGCTATGCTCTTTAGACACTCTACAAGCTTAGGTGTTTAGTTACGGTGCATACAATATGTAGATACTTATATATAATATGTGTATATAGTGTAATAACACTGCAAACAGTATTGTTGGGGGAGAACGTTTAGTGCGTGTGACCTTGAATGAGTGAGGGAGCCGCCAGCTGACTGTGTGTATAGCGACGACTCTTAGTGCCTGAACTAACTATATCAGCTTAGTTGTATAGTTGTGTTGAACAAAACATGTAGATACTTATATATAACGTCTGTATATTGTGAATAAAGTATAAAACAGGATGGTGGGAGGAGAAAGTGGGCGAGTGAGGCGTTGTTGAGGGAGTGAGTGGCAATGAGTGGCTGGCTGGTGTGTGGCGGTCACTCCTCGTTGCTTTTCGACTCATAATACCTACTTAGTGGTTCGTTATGGTGAACAAAACATGCAGATACTTATATATAACCTGTGTATATAGTGTAATAACAGCAAAACTATTTGTTTATTGTTTTATGAACATAGTAATTCAATCACTAATATGCACACCATACTTTTGAGTATAGCGATGATTCACCTCTTTTATTATAAAAATATATCATACTACACACTATTGAATAATATTACTGCAAAAAACTAAGAAAAAATCAGAGACAATGAAATAATTAGGTGATAATATCTTTCTGGCAACTCTCACCTGTCAGCTCGGGTGACGCTGACCGGCTCTGATGACTGCTCTGTCAACGCCCACCTTTTGCCAGACTTCCTCGGTCTATTGCGCCCAAAATATGTCGCCTACGTTTTTTTTATTTTTCCCGCGCTCAGGGAACACAAATTAACATTTTTAGAAGACAAAATAATTTTTTAGATTTTTTTTTTCTTGCACACAGGGGTGTAAATCTCCTCGGGACCCCTTAGCAGCTTAAGGGTTAATGTAAACTGAATTAATCTGTTCCACACACCCAAAAATATTAACTTAAAAATACATTTTATTCAGAATACTGTACTACTCATATTTTTCTACTATACCTTATCTTTATTGAGGACTCTTGTTGGCGTATGGAAGATGGTAAGGAGGGAGGGGGTGCAAGACAGGAAAAGGGGGTCCTCCCTCCCTACACAAGGGAGGGAGCAAAGCATTGGCAAAGAATTATGGACCAGTTGCACTAACGTCCCACATAATAAAAGTATTTGAGAGAGTGATCAGGAGTCAGGTCACTAGTTTCATGGAAACCAATGACCTCCACAACCCAGGCCAACATGGATTGAGAGCAGAAAGATCATGCCTCTCACAGCTACCTGACTATTACGACAAAATAACTGAGGCATTAGAAGAAAAACAAAATGCACATGTAGTATACACGGACTTTGCAAAGGCACTCGATAAATGTGACCATGGAGTGATAGCACACAAAATCAGGTCAGTGGGAATAACTGGTAAAGTAGAACACTGGATACTCAGTTTTCTGTTGAACAGAACACAAAGAGTAACAGTGAACCATATAAAATAGTCCAAATGCAGTTAAAAAGCTCTGTATCTCAGGGTACAGTCCTTGCACCACTGCTTTTTCCTTATTCTCATATCAGTTATAGACTCAAATACAAGTCACAGCTTTGTATCATGCTTTGTAGATGACACAAAAATCAGCATGAAAATTACTTCTGTTGAAGACATTGAAAACTACAAGCAGATATTTATAAAATTTTCGACTGGGCAGCAGACAATAACATTATATTTAACTGTGATAAATTCCAGGGACTCAGGTACAGTAAAAATGAGGACCTTAAACTTAATACAGGGTACAAAACTCATCAAATCTGTCCATAGTAGGAAAACAGCATGTAAAGGATTTGGGAATAATGATGTCTGATGACCTAATGTTTAGGGAGCATAACCAAGCAGATATTGTGTCAGCCAGAAAAATGATAGGATGGATTATGAGAACTTTCAAATCCAGGGATCCCATCACAGTGGTTGTACTCTTCATATCACTTGTGCTGTCCAGGCTTGAGTACTGCTCAGTACTCGCTTCCCCCTTCAGAGCAGGAGAGATTGCTGAAATAGTGGGAATACAGAGAACATATATGGCATACATAGATGTTATAAAGCATTTAAATTATCATCTCAAAGCTCTCCAAATGTTCTCACTAGAAAGGAGATGAGAGAGATATTAAATAATATATACATGGAAAATTCTGGAGGGCCAAGTCCCAAATCTGCACAGTAAAATTACAACGTACTGGAGTGAACGATATGGAAGAAAATCCAGAATAGAACCATTGAAGAACAAAGGTGCCATAGTCACAATCAGAGAACACTGTATAAACATCAGAGGTCCACGATTGTTCAACATCCTCCCAGCGAGCATAAGAAATATTGCCAGAACAACCGTGAACATCTTCAAAAGAAAACTAGATAGTTTTCTTTAAGGAGTGCCGGACCAACCGGGCTGTGGTGGGTATGTGGGCCGATCCAAGCAACAGCCTGGTCGATCAAACACTCACAAGTCAAGCTTGGCCTCGGGCCGGGCTTGGGGAGTAGAAGAACTAGAACCCCATCAAGCAGATATCAAGCAGGAGGGGGAGAGGAGGTGAGGTGTTAGTGTTTGGAAGGAGAGTCTTTTTCCATTATAACATCAGGAAGTGATGACATTTCTGGGGTACTCTCCTACATTTTGCAGGCATACCACTAGGACCTGGTTGTGGCTCACTGCTTGCTTGTCTTACTAAGACTGTCTATAGATACTTGTTTATCCCTAAGTTTTAACACTTGTCTGTAGTGAGATATCATATTGTCATTAAAAAGGTTAATGCAATGGCCTGCAACAGCTATGAGCTCTTGTTTTTCCTCTATCGTCATTCTCACAACTATTTTCTTAGGTTGAACTTTACCACTGACTTTCTTGGGATCCCATGGTGTGATATATAATAACTTTTATGTTTAGAAACCAAAAAAAGCAGAAAAACAATGAAATTCTTCATGAAGAATTCATGCACGGTCGTCACTAGGCGAAATACACTGATAAACTGAATGTGTCTTGCCCCGTGCCCAGCAGAACCCATGCACTTGACCCATACATGTACTGTATCAACAAACACTCGTATTCCGAGGCAAACTTCGTACACCGAGTCAAATTTTACAAGGAAACTGACTTCACATACTGAAAAATTTGTAATCCAGGGCATTTGTAAACCGAGGTTCCACTGCATATAATGTACTGTGTGTGTGTGTGTGTGTGTAATTACCTAAGTGTAATTACCTAAGTGTAGTTACAGGATGAGAGCTACGCTCGTGGTGTCCCGTCTTCCCAGCACTCTTTGTCATATAACGCTTTGAAACTACTGACGGTCTTGGCCTCCACCACCTTCTCACTTAACTTGTTCCAACCGTCTACCACTCTATTTGCGAAGGTGAATTTTCTTATATTTCTTCGGCATCTGTGTTTAGCTAGTTTAAATCTATGACCTCTTGTTCTTGAAGTGCCAGGTCTCAGGAAATCTTCCCTGTCGATTTTATCAATTCCTGTTACTATTTTGTATGTAGTGATCATATCACCTCTTTTTCTTCTGTCTTCTAGTTTTGGCATGTTTAATGCTTCCAACCTCTCCTCGTAGCTCTTGCCCTTCAGTTCTGGGAGCCACTTAGTAGCATGTCTTTGCACCTTTTCCAGTTTGTTGATGTGCTTCTTAAGATATGGGCACCACACAACTGCATATTCTAGCTTTGGCCTAACAAAAGTCATGAACAATTTCTTTAGTATATCGCCATCCATGTATTTAAATGCAATTCTGAAGTTAGAAAGCATCGCATAGGCTCCTTGCACAATATTCTTTATGTGGTCCTCAGGTGATAGTTTTCTATCTAGAACCACCCCTAGATCTCTTTCTTTATCAGAATTCTTTAAAGATTTCTCACATAATATATAGGTTGTATGGGGTCTATGTTCTCCTATTCCACATTCCATAACATGACATTTATTAACATTAAATTCCATTTGCCAGGTGGTGCTCCATATACTTATTTTGTCCAGGTCTTCTTGAAGGGCATGACAATCATCTAAATTTCTTATCCTTCCTATTATCTTAGCATCATCAGCAAACATGTTCATATAATTCTGTATACCAACTGGTAGATCATTTATGTACACAATAAACATCACTGGTGCAAGAACTGAACCCTGTGGTACTCCACTTGTGACATTTCTCCATTCCGATACATTGCCTCTGATTACTGCCCTCATTTTTCTATCAGTCAGAAAATTTTTCATCCATGATAGCAGCTTACCTGTCACCCCTCCAATATTTTCCAGTTTCCAGAACAACCTCTTATGTGGAACTCTGTCGAAAGCCTTTTTTAGGTCCAGATAGATGCAGTCAACCCAACCATCTCTTTCCTGTAATATCTCTGTGGCTCGATCATAGAAACTGAGTAAATTCGATACACAGGATCTTCCAGATCGAAAACCATACTGTCTGTCTGATATTATATCATTTTTCTCCAGGTGTTCTACCCATTTAGTTTTGATTAGCTTTTCCAATACTTTCACTATTACACTTGTCAATGATACAGGTCTATAATTGAGGGGGTCTTCCCTGCTGCCACTTTTGTAGATTGGAACTATGTTAGCCTGTTTCCACACGTCTGCTACGATTCCTGTACACAGGGATGCCTGAAAGATCAGGTGAAGTGGAATGCTGAGCTCAGATGCACATTCTCTCAGAACCCATGGTGAAACGCCATCTGGGCCAGCTGCTTTGTTCTTCCCGAGCTCCTTTAGCATATTTTCCACTTCATCTCTAGACACCTCTATCCGCTCTATGTTGTTCTCTGGAATTCTTATTGTGTCTGGTTCTCTGAAGATTTCATTTTGTACAAACACACTTTGGAACTTTTCATTTAATGTTTCACACATTTCACACGTGTGTGTGTGTGTGTGTGTGTGTGTGTGTGTGTGTGTGTGTGTGTGTGTGTGTGTGTGTGTGTGTGTGTGTGTGTGTGTGTGTGTATTTATATATATATACACACACACACACACACACACACACAATAAGAAAATTCACCTTCGCAAATAGAGTGGTAGACGGTTGGAACAAGTTAAGTGAGAAGGTGGTGGAGGCCAAGACCGTCAGTAGTTTCAAAGCGTTATATGACAAAGAGTGCTGGGAAGATGGGACACCACGAGTGTAGCTCTCATCCTGTAACTACACTTAGGTAATTACACTTAGGTAATTACACAGACAGACAGACAGACAGACAGTGGCACCTCGATTAACGAGTTTAATCCATTCTGACACCAAGCTCGTTATGTGGAAAACTCGTCTTAAGAAATTTCCCCATTTAAAATAAAGGAAATAAATTTAATCCATTCCACTCCCCAAAACATCCATATTTGTATGACATTTTATAATGTAAACATAATACTGCACATCTATATAAATAAAAATGGAAATGTTTATTTGTTCAAAATCGCTAATCTCCGAAAGTTCTTCACCGATTGCTTTGAAATTTTCACACAACGTTCCATTCCCATCTGAGCAGGTTTTTATACAAGTACATACATACATACATACATGTATGTATATATATATATATATATATATATATATATATATATATATATTATATATATACAGTATTATATATATATATATATATATATATATATATATATATATATATATATATATATATATATATATATATATATATATATATATATATATATATATTATATAATATTTGTGCAACGGAGGGTTAAAAGAATCTCATTTCTTTAATTTATAAACACAAATTTGAATGTCTTTTCATCTATTACAGGTACGGTAAGACGATTTTTAGAGCACTGGGGACAGGGCCTGGAAAGGATCATCTTTGTTGCAGACAGCATTGATGTCAGTATTTATGAGATTTTGATGCCACTTTATTTCCCAAGATCCTCACAAGAAGAAGACTGTGGTTGTTTCCTTCTACCTGTGAGTACATAAGCTTTAGCCATTAAAAATAAAAGGTTAATGACAATGCTGATTTGTGCTAGAAACTTTGGTATTCGAGCAGATTGGTTTGGGTGCATTACAGTTTTTGCTGGTGGGATAGGTAAAGAAAATATTTTTTCAACCTACTACTGAGCATTTTTATTTACAAAATAAACTATAACTGGTGTTTTGGGTGAAATTTATTCCTCCATTCACTGACATTCTCTCATATAAAGTGTATTTGCCAGGCCCTGCTGTAGCAAGTAGGTAAAGTTGAAAAATCCCTAGTGTAGCAAATATTTGCTTCTCATTGTTTTACAATCCTGAATACTTTAATGTTTTCTAAGCTATATATAAAAGTGTTGCAGTAGTGTAAGTTAAGATCTATTCACACACACATTGGGTGATATTAATATGAAATCAGTGAACTAGAAGGGATATGAGTCATGAACTGAAGACATACTGACAGGCACATTTTAAATCTTGTATTAGAGAATAAGGTAAGAGGGATTTGCCATTGTTTCTGGGTCTTATTTTCACCAGGAAAAGGTAAGATTATTTTAACATATGGGAGTACACGACTCCCCCTTATTAGGCAAGAATAATGTCCTATTGGAAATTATATCTGCAACTTAATATGATATAAAAGAAATAAGGGAAAGTAGATGTATCAGAGAAACTTAACTCATAAAAAAAAGTAAAGAATGTAATGAAACACCTCTTTCTGTGGGGGGCCTTGGTGTCTCCCTGTTGCTAACCACTGTGGTTAGCGCCATGCTATCAAGTCACACCAGAGCCTTCTTTGCAAGTCAGTAAAAACCTACTGAAGACCAGAGGCCAAAACCTGGCCTCATGACAGAGGCAGAGGGATCAAATGGTCATGGATCACCACCACCAGGTAACCCCTGCCAGAAAGTGGGGCAGGAGGGAGGAATTAAAACAGAAAACAGTAAGCTAAGAACAAAGTAAAAAAAAAAATTGACAAACAATCCACCCAGTAGTTTGGTTGTTCACCCACTAATAGCAGCTGTCCACCACCAGGTGGCAGCACCCTGTCAGAGGCCTGACAAACTGTCAGGCCTCTGTTTAACCTCCAAAATCCTGATCCTGGATAACAGTCCAAGACATACTGTACACTTGATAATCTGAATTACATGGGGGGCCCACCCCATTTGAGTTAGTTAGCAGATTTCTGGAAAGAGGGGGGGAAGGAGGGGAAGCCTTGTGGCTACTTGAAGCTATGTACAGTACTTATATGATACCATCTACTAAGTCGCATCAGCCATGGAGTTCTATAGGCCTACAAGGGACCAAAACCAGGGTCACCCTCACAGAGGCGCAGTTGTAAGGGCACGATCTTGTAAGTCGTACCGAGAGTACCCATGAGTTCAGATATTAAGGGAAGGCAGAGCATGATGGTACTGGTGTTGGAAACAGGTTTGGGATGAGAAAAACTAAGTTTTTGTTGAGAATAGGCACAGATGATCAAATGTAAGGGGCCAAGATGAGAAAAAGATTTGTAAATAAAAAGAAATTTCAGATTAAAGAAACTGAGGATCACGATGAATACAGCATAGAGGAAGAGAGACGAGAACACTTAACATATTTTTCACAGGTTCATATGATCATGTGAAAAATTAGAGATATAAATGAGGAAAATCCAGCAGTGAATATAATTAAGTGCTTGTTTCTCACAGAACCCCAGTAGCTCTCTGAAGCTATTTCACTGCGATGGCTCCCCACTCCTGGATCACATCAGATGCAGGAGTCCTGTTTGGCCTGCTTGGAAAGCAGAGCCAGAATCTGGCCTGTCACAGAGGCACAGAGTGCAAGGGAACTGTTATCATCACCCCCACTGGGAAAGCACTCAGAAAATCAATGAAACTTAACAGACAACTGCAAGATTCATAGAAAACTGAAAAGCAAACAACTCCACAAATGATCCAGACTAAATAATTGAGTCATTCAAAACTAACTCAAACCCATTAATACATGTAGCTGCATCCAGGCAGCCCAGAGCCCTAGCCCACAGCCAGCTCCAATGGTCAGTCCGGAGCTATTGGACAGTGAACTGAGGAATCTGGTAGGGAGGGAGTCAGGGAGAATCCGGGGCTCTACCAGAAAGAGGCGTTATATTACATTCAATACTGAGAGGACACAGATTCAAGCTTAGGAAACTGAGGTGCCAAAAAAATATTAGAAAGTTTTCATTTGCAAACGGAGTGGTAGATGGTTGGAACAAGTTAGTGAAAAGATGGTGGAAGCCAAACCCACAATAGTTTCAAAGCATTATATGACAGTGCTGGGAAGACGGGACACGACGAGCATAGCTCTCATCATGTAACTACAGTACATTTAGTTAATTACACTTAGGTAATCACCCCAAAATAATCATCTGCATGGATTACATTTACAACAGTGTGTAAACAGTCATAAACCAAGCTTAACCCACTGCTTCATAGCACTAAACCTCTTTGAGGGTACCAGATTCTGGTCCTAATCCCTGGTAGGTATTCATGGATCACTAAAGGCCTGATGTCTTCCCAAGGCCTGTATGTTTCAAGGTTGAAGCATTGGGAGCTAATGATGCCTTTACCAGAAAGAGGCATTTTATTACATTCATTACTGGATGTTTTCTCATCTTTGCCCTGAATGAATAATTAATAAAGTAGTATACATGTAGATGGAAGTGTAAAATCCATGATCAAGATTGTATTTTTTAAATTTAGTGTTATTTCTAATTACAGGATACTGCATAATATATTATAAAATATGGCACGAATGAATATAGCAGCTAGATGAAGAATACATTTAATTAATATGTACATGTTTTCTTGTTCATAATGTAGGCCGATCTTGGAGATGAATATGGCGAACCAATTATTCCTGACCGCCAGATCCGCATCATTGATAATCCCCAGCACAAATATGAAGGTAAGAGATGACCTTTGATCATTGAACATTGATGCCAAACTGTCTAATTCAACTGGGAAATAATTATGATACTGTAGTTGGATATCTTAGAAGTTACAGCAATAATGTAGCTTTGCTAAAAGGTAGTCTTACACTGTTTGGCTATGAACTTATCTGATTAGTACTGTATTTTAATTTAAATATTTTCTTGTCATGGCATTACCTTATTTTGACTGCCCCTAAATCAGATTTATCGTGTGGCGTGTTTTTCAGGATTTTCTAAAATCATGAGCTATTGACAAAATCTGAAGAAGTAAATGAAAACTGTTTTTGTTGAGCCAATGTTGTAAACTTATAGTAGAGTTGGATAAACTCTTGGCTGGAGAACGGAAACAGATTAACACTTTTATTTCAATGCAGCAATGAGAGGGATACACTTTTGCAAACAGAGAGGTAGAAGGTTGAAATAAGTTAAGTGAGAAGGTGGTGGGGGCCAAAACCATCAGTAGTTTCAAAGCGTTATACGACAAAGTACTGGGAAGACGTGATACCACAAACGTAGCTCTCATCCTGTAATTACAATTAGGGAATTACATTTGAAAATACTTCTGTTGTCAACATGTAGTTTCTTTTGTACAGTATCATGCGATGTAACAATCATTTGCAAAAGTTTTGATGCTAGAAATGTATATACAATAGAATAACCACACAAATAATAAATAATATATAATAATAAATAACCACACAAATGTGAAATTGGTATGAGGATTTGCATTTGGCACTTCTTCCAACAGCACAATATTATCATCTGATAATAATAATTTTTACTAAAGAAAACTCTGAACCAGGCCACTTTGTTGCTATGTGGAGCAGTAGCCTGCTCCACCAATTAAGGGGGCAGTTATCAACATTTGCAGAGATCTGTGCAAGATCTGTGCCAGGTGAAAGCTGGGAAAGTCCAGGAGGAATATTCAATTAAACTGAAAAAATGAACTTGTGAGCGATACTCGGCTTTGCATAAATTGCTGGTCATTGCTCTGCTAGTTGGACCACCCAGCCACTTCCCTAAAGCAGCACTAGAAGATGATCTAGATACCAACAACCTAAAAGGCACCAGGCTTGCAGGGAGTTGCTTTCCTCAAATTTAACATGGCATTAACCTTTAACACATGCCTGCTTTTGCAAGACTTTTTAAAACTAAGTGATCTTTGACAGGTTTATTCTTGAAGCTGATTTCTAAACAGTAGGCTTCTTCTCTCATGAAAGCCTTCATGTATCTTGGTTACACAGTCATTTGCATGTTGCTGAATCTACTTCATTTGGCATGTTAGAGTTACCGTCTCTGTAATTATCCAAGTGTTATTACATGATAAGAGCATTCTTGGGGTGTTCTGAGCAATTTTGGCATATACGGTGCTGTATTAGTCTTTAAAATTATTCCAGGCATCTGCCACTCTAGAGATAGAGAACTTACTCAGCTTTGTTTTGTTGGCTTGAATTTATGACCGCTTGTTCTCGATGTCATAGATTTCCAAAAGTCCCTATTATCAATTTTGTCAGTTCCTGTTACAATTCTGTACTGTACTTGGTGATCATGTCACTTCTGCTTCTTCGATGTACTAGTTCTGGCCTGTCTGAGGCCTCCAGTTTCTCCTAGCTCTTGTTAGATTAGGGACCTATATATTAGCATGCCTTAAGCACCTTTCCTACTTAACTAAATGTGATTTTTGAGATGTTGGTACTGTACAACTTCTGAATATTCTAGTCTGGGTCTCATCTTTTATAATGTACAGTATAGCTTTTAATGTCGGTAAATTGTGAACAAAATTTGAATTTATTGCGCTTATTGCGCTTAACAGTAGTACTGTTAACCTCTGTGCTGTGCCGCGTTTATTGTGACATTCTGGTAATGTGCGGAAAATAAAGTGTTCCCCCCCCCTCAAAAAAAAAAAAAATCTTTGTCAATTTTTAAAATCCCTTCCCTGAACATGTACATGTAAAAATAAACATAAAAAACAACTTATTTTGGCTGTGGCGACCTGGAGAAGATGCGATGTGACGTCACCAATACGTGTTTGCCCATACAGGAAGCTCCCAGAGGCGATCGCATGGGCGATTCAAGACCCGCGAGTTGCCACAAATATATTTTCATTCATTTTTTCAATGCATTTTCAATGTTTTCTAATTACTTTTTTGTAATTATTGTACAAAGAAACAGTCCATGGTACACAGTGCAATTTTGCACTCGATGCACCAGGTACACACAGATTTTCACTTCCTGCTTCTTCAATTTGCACTTGATAACAACGCACTCACATAATCCCCTGGCTTTAGTTTCTGTATTTGGTATCAGGCTATTGCTTAACCTTTGCACTGCATATCCATGGGTGCACATTACATCTGGAGGCATTAATAGGTACCATGCAACATTTAAAACTCCTGTGTGGTAAATGCATCCATACAGCTTCTCGTAAACATCCACCATCTTTCAAAAAATAGAGTTGTAAGGAATCAGTAGTAACTGAGCAACAATGAGCAGCACATAGGGCATGAGCGCCCAACCCGGTCATTCAGTTTGCTCCTCAGCATCACTTAAAGAAGACAAAATTAATCAAAACTGGATAATTTGCCATAGAAAGTGACTTGAATGATCCTGAGAGTGATGAAGGTTATGTACAAGGTTCAGAAGACAGTTGCATGGGCAACAGTTTGCTTTAGCATCTTGCCCGACAGACTGTCATACTGCTACAATTCTTTGTGTGTCGACCATCTGACCACCGGTTTGAAGTCGTGGCAAGGCCCACCATGAGTGCATTGTCTGCAAGAACACAGATAGGAAGGGAAAGTAAAGGAAGGCATTTACAATTTAGTGTAGAAAGTGTGCGACTGTGGTGTGCATGAACGTGGTTTTAGAGATTTATCACACCCTCCAGAATTTCTGAGTGGTTTATAAGAGTGCATAAATATGTAAGCACTGTACTCATAGATTATTTATAACTACAGTGTGACAGCAACAAAAATTGTATGTTTTATTGTTTTGATAATATTTTATGGTGTGCCTATTAGGGACATGCATGTAGTACAATATTTAGTATCTGAATGTTACAATATTCCATATGTTCTATGATATAAATACCCCGGTACTACTATTGAGAGCCCAGTGCATCATTGTACTAGAAAAAATATGAACAAAATATTAAAAATACTACAAAATAACAGTACAGTATTATATATTCAATGTGCAGTTATAATTTTGTGCAGTGTGTGAGAGGCTATGCTGCGCTTGAACAACTCCGTTTGAGATTGTCACATCCTTCAGAACACAAGATAACATGTTGAAGTTACCTTGTGCTTTAGATTTAGGAAAGACCTAGGTAAATACTGGTTTGGTAACAGGGATGTTGATTTGTGGAACCAATTACCATGTAACGTGGTGGAGGTGGGGTCCCTTGGTTGTTTCAAATGTGGGTTGGACATGAGTGGGATTGGGTGGTTAAAAATAGGAGCTGCCTCGCATAGGCCAATAGGCCTTCTGCAGTTACCTTTATTCTTATGAAATTATAACAAAGGGGATATTAATAGGGTATTTAAAAGTATCAACACAAGACAGAACACAAAACAATGGGTATAAATTGGATAAGTTTAGATTTAGGAAAGACCTGGGTAAATACTGGTTCGGTAACAGGGTTGTTGATGTGTGGAACCAATTACTTTACCAAATAACATGGTGGAGGTGGTAATTGTCACGTTTTTAATTTGTGTGTGGTTCTTAACACTGCATAAACATGTAAATAGTTTTAAATAATGTGTGTACAGTGTGATAATAGCAAAGTAATGTTTCATTTGTATAGAAATATGATATGGTGTGATTATCGGGGACATGCATACAGTATATCTGTGTGTACTGAAGTTCCACGAGTTCTGTGAAATAAATACTAATTTTGACAGTCTAGTTGCCCAGCAAACTGAAAAAAATCCATTCAATAAACATTCAAAATACAACAAAAACTAATGCAGTACACTCGACATCCTCCAATCCGATCACTTTGGTTCCAGTTGTGATTGGATACATAGTCATGATTGGCTATTTGGCTGAATCCTTTGGCTGAAATAGTAATTTTGATATGTAAAAGTACACAACAATATTGTATTGCTTCACTAGATACTTTAAACAAAACACCACAAAATATTGAATTGATAATAGCAATAAATATTGCTATTATCAGAGAGAGAGAGAGAGAGAGAGAGGAGGGGGGGGTGAGGTGAGAGAGAGAGAGGTGTGTGAGAGAGAGAGAGAGAGAGGTGTGTGAGAGAGAGAGAGAGAGAGGTGTGTGAGAGAGAGAGAGAGAGAGGTGTGTGAGAGAGAGAGAGAGAGAGGTGTGTGAGAGAGAGAGAGAGAGGTGTGTGAGAGAGAGAGAGGTGTGTGTGAGAGAGAGAGAGGTGTGAGAGAGAGAGAGAGGTGTGAGAGAGAGGTGTGAGAGAGAGGTGAGAGAGAGAGAGAGAGAGAGAGAGAGAGGAGTGAGAGAGAGAGAGAGGTGTGAGAGAGAGAGAGAGAGAGAGAGAGAGGTGAGAGAGAGAGAGAGAGAGAGAGAGAGAGAGGTGTGAGAGAGAGAGGTGTGAGAGAGAGAGAGAGAGGAGAGAGAGAGAGAGAGAGAGGTGTGAGAGAGAGAGAGAGAGGGTGTGAGAGAGAGAGAGGTGTGAGAGAGAGAGAGGTGTGAGAGAGAGAGAGGTGTGAGAGAGAGAGAGGTGTGAGAGAGAGAGTGGTGTGTGAGAGAGAGAGAGAGTGGTGTGAGAGAGAGTGGTGTGAGAGAGAGAGAGAGTGGTGTGAGAGAGAGAGAGAGTGGTGTGAGAGAGAGAGAGTGGTGTGAGAGAGAGAGAGTGGTGTGAGAGAGAGAGAGAGTGTGAGAGAGAGAGAGTGGTGTGAGAGAGAGAGAGTGTGGTGTGAGAGAGAGAGAGAGGGTGGTGTGAGAGAGAGAGAGTGTGAGAGAGAGTGTGGTGTGAGAGAGAGAGAGAGTGGTGTC